TGTAACATGACATGCTGCTCGTTGAAGTATTTGTCCAAGTAGTATATCTGCTTGTGGGCCATCCTGCCAACAGTGCAGCAGGGCAGCTGAGCCAGGAATGCAAAGAAGGGGAGAAGCAAAACAAATAACAACCCTAGGACACTGCTACAACCTAAGTTTGCAATCAGTTCTTAAGGAGAATGAATTAGGACAGTAAAGACATAATAAATATTAAACCTCACTCAATGCACTGGTTTTGGTAAATTTTTATTTTTATATTAACATTTTAATAGAACTTAAATGATCTTATATTACTATATTAAACACACTGTTGTTAAGTGCTTTCCAACTTATAGCAACCCTGTATAGGGTTTCCAAAGAGAGGCTGGTGGATTTGTACTACCATCTTTATGGTTAGCAGTCCAGTGCTTATCCTAGAGTGTCACATCAAGACTCTTTTAAAATAATATACTATAATAAGGTATTTAAATAGAAAAGAAACATCAGCAGTTAATATATGTTAGTGTAATTTGGCAATAATTTAAGGTTTTAAGATTTTGTCAAGTCTTTAACCAAGTTTATCAATTTCATAGTTGTTTATTTGTGTAGTACCACCCATGATGGTACACTTTTGTTTTTGTTCATAAGGAAACATTTTTTCATTGCTAAGATACAATTTGATTTCTTTCCTTTTAAGGCTCAAAATGTCTGCCTTTGTCCACAACTATTTAACTTTGTCTGATAATGCTTGCAAGACATTATGGGTTTCTCGAGTGTTTACTGATAAAACAATAGCTTACATACAAGCCTGAATGACTAGTAATGCTCTTACTTAGTGAAGTAGTGCTGGTGGCATAGTGGTTAATGGCTCAGTTGTTAACTGCCATTCCACAGAAGAAAGATGCGGCAGTCCATTTCCATAAAGTTTTACAACTGGGAAAACCCTGGAGATGGGGAGCAGATCTACTCTGTTCCCTATAAGTCAGAATAATTTAATATGCAAGGGTTTTGTTTGGGTTATATATATACTTAAATGAGATTAAAGAGGTGGGGCTAGATGGCAGCTAGGATGGAGGTGCAGTGAGGTTCACTGTCAGCAATAGTACAGAATACCAAGCAAAGCAGATCCAGCACAGAGTTCCAAAACTCGGACCACATAGATAGGATTATTTACAAAGTTTGAAGG